CAATTTGAGCCTCTAATCAAATTACAACATAATTTGGCATGCCTATAATTAATTAATGGCAACTGGTGATTACAGGTTAATTGGTAGGCATTACCATGTTGAGTTACATTTTCTTCTTCTTCTTCAAATCTTGCTTTACAAAAACAGCAATGCAATACAACACACGTGGATAAACACAAACATATATATATATATTACAGGGCACACAACTGTTGAAACTTCTGAAGCTTTCAACAAAAAAGGATTTTTTTTATACTATAGAAAAGCTTTGGATAGTAGAAATTCACCAAAAAACCAACAAAACCATTCACATAATAACACAAAAAAGAGTTCCTGTTCAAATAGCCATGACATCCATTGAATGGAGTAAGAGTAACACGAGCCAAACACATACACACACACAAATAACCCCAACAGTAAAGAGAAACAACAGAGCAAGTCTAATACTCTTATTGTGTAATGAATTGAAAATCTGCAAAACAGAAAGAGACCATTATGAGGAAAAAGAGATTTACTAGGACCGGTTGCCAGCATTGACTCAATGCGACCTGCATGTGTCCGTATGCATGCAAATAGAGTAATAGAAACTCAAATAGAATCAGGTTGTGCTCACTATGTCAACATAACGGCAACAAAAGCAACTCAATTAACTTCATTGAGAACCAGTTTCAACGTACGTTCTACGTTCCATCGTTCTCCATATCAATTGAGGCGAACTGCTGTCGATGGATGCCATGCGGATTTATTTTGGTTGAACATTGACGTCTCCTTGCTGTGAGTCAAGTCAACAGTTGCGGTGAACTAGTCAAACAGTTTCAAACACGGCTGCATTCAGACTAAAGCCATTCAGTTTTTTAAAAGCGGTCGAACAGTTGCGGTTGAAGAGACACGTCAAACGGATAAAACGGATAAACGGCCAACTAACAGCGTTCATTCATATTGAAGCACGTATTTCTCAAAATAAAAAAAATAAAAAAACACAAAGCGGAGTAACAAAAAACACTTCGAGATAACAATACAGAGATGTTCAGACAGAAATGAACACACAGACACGTACACTACGCATACATTCGCAAAGCAAACTAACCACAACGGAAACGGAAATCGAATAAGAAATTTAAATTGAACAGCGCACACTTCAAATTGCATGGAAGTGTAGTTGATTTTGTGGCCAGTAGTTCTCATTGGCAAGCAACAAAAACAAAATGGAGATGCATAGCCTGTAGCTGAAAACTCTTCAATTACACGCTATTCAAAAAAAAAATTATTGCTGTTCGTGTAAATCGCAGGAAAAAAATACACTCATACACACACTCGCATAACATCCAACAATGTGCCAAAAATTAAATGTTTAATTTATGTGCCACAGACCCGTCAATTATTCACACAATTCAATGACACCAAATAGACCGCCTAACGAGTTGGGGAATAAATCAGGAAAAAAATAAAGCAAACATAATTACGGAAAATCATGCACAGTGGGTTGGAATGGAAAGAAATTTGAAAAAAAAAAATAATTTATTTAAATAATAATAATTATACAATGAAATACAATGTGAGAATTAATGATTTTAGACCCGTTACAGATTTAAATTAAAATATTTGTTAAAAAATATCAGATTGAGTAACAGGATAGTGCACACAGTGAAGGAGTAGGGAGGGAACTTGGTCCATACCACCACGTCGAATTAATGATTTTAGAACCGTTACCGATTTAAACAAATTCCGTTGTAAAATAGACATTTAAAAATTTTCCTTTCATCTGCTTGAGTAACAGGATAGTGTATACTATGAGGCAGTAGGGGACAATGCAGTAAAGTTATTAAATTGTATAAACTTTGGCATAAGGAAAGCTTAAAGTTCGGTAGCATAGTTAATAATGTTGGTTAACGATAAAGCCTTCGAAATACAAAATTTAAATGGCCAAGAAAGTCTTGAAACTTCTAACACCTTAACTCTGGCAGAAAGTTTATTATCTTCAAACATCAACCATTTCATATACTCACCATGAAATTGGACATACAAAATACAGGACCAGAGTCATGGCCAATTACTGTCAGGAGAAAAGGTATAGGAAGGTAACATCATACACCACCCTAAGCTGCACCATGTACCGATATTTGTCAAGAATGATTTTGAGAACAAAAAAAATATAATTACAGCCAAAATTTGTTTCTCACTAAGTACCCTAAATGTCAAACCACATTTATATCCGTTTGAAAATTCCGCTAAAATCTTCAAAATACTACAACTAGGAGGGTATAATTATATATTGGGAATGCCAAAACAAAAATGAAACCATAATGAATATTTTTAAAAAATCCGGAATAATTAACCTACCATCGAACTTTACTCGTACATGTCAAAGGAATACAAGATCTGTCATTCGGGCGCCATCTACATTAAATATGAACAAAATTGTATCTAAAGCTGATCCGATATAAAGGAAACTTAAATCACGTCATTCAAGACCTAATTATTTACAAGAACTCGAAAAATTGACAGCTATAATTAAATCATAATCGATTTGAAGCAATTTGGACAGGAGGATATAAGCGATCTTCTATGGATAGAATAGGTATTCTATGGGTAGGAAGGGTCGTCTATGGATAGTAGAGGTCTTCTATGTACGACAGAATTATTCAATTCGTAGAAGATATATTTTTTGGATAGAATATGTCCACCATCGATAGAAAATATTGTCGGTGTTAACGAGGTCATCTATGGATAGATGAGGTCTTCTATGGACAGAAGAGGTCTCCTATGGAAAGAAGAAGTCATAAATGGACAGATCATGTCTTCTATGGACAGAAGAGACCTAATACAGGGAAGCAATGACATACGAGGATAGAAAGGAATGGTCTTCTATGGGAAGAATGGGTCTCTATGGATAGAAGGGGTGTCTATGGATATAAGAGGTATTTTATATCTGGAAGAATACCTCTATAGGTGACAGATTTATTCTATAGTTAAGGGGTGTCTATGGATATAAGAGGTATTTTATATCCAGAAGAAGACCTCTATAGACGACAGATTTATTCAATTCAAAAGACAATGTATTCTGTGGATAGATGGTGTCTACTATCGAGAAGGGGTGTCTATGGATATAACAGGTATTTTATATCCGGAAGAATACCTCTATAGATGACAGATTTATTCTATAGTTAAGGGGTGTCTATGGATAGAAGAGGTATTTTATATCCAGAAGAAGACCTCTATAGACGACAGATTTATTCAATTCAAAAGACGATGTATTCTGTGGATAGATGATGTCTACTATCGAGATAAGATATTAACGAGGTCATCTATGGATAGCAGAGGGTTTCTATGGATAGAATTGGTCTTCTATGGACAGAGATATTCTATAGTTAAGGGGTGTCTATGGATATAAGAGGTATTTTATATCCAGAAGAAGACCTCTATAGACGACAGATTTATTCAATTCAAAAGACGATGTATTCTGTGGATAGATGGTGTCTACTATCGTAATAAGATATTAACGAGGTCACCTATGGATAGAAGAGGTTTTCTATGGATAGAATTGGTCTTCTATGGACAGAGATATTCTATAGTTAAGGGGTGTCTATGGATAGAAGAGGTATTTTATTTCCAGAAGAAGACCTCTATAGACGACAGATTTATTCAATTCAAAAGACGATGTATTCTGTGGATAGATGGTGTCTACTATCGAGATAAGATATTAACGAGGTCATCTATGGATAAAAGAGGTTTTCTATGGATAGAATTGGTCTTCTATGGACAGAGACATTCTATAGTTAAGGGGTGTCTATGGATAGAAGAGGTATTTTATTTCCAGAAGAAGACCTCTATAGACGACAGATTTATTCAATTCAAAAGACGAAGTATTCTGTGGATAGATGTTGTCTACTATCGATATAAGATATTGTCTGAATTAACGAGGTCATCTATGGATAGAAGAGGTTTTCTATTGATAGAATTGGTCTTCTATGGACAGAGATATTCTATAATTAGGTCTTCTATGGACAGCAGACTTCTTCCAGTTATAGAAGAGGTATTCTAAGGATACAAGAAATTTTAAATCTATAGATGGCATCATTTATGGGAAAAGTGGTCTATAGACCAAATTAAATAGGTGATTTAAATTAACGTGGCTCACTCAGGATCTTTGTTGGGTATTTAGTGCACCATTTAGATTAAATTATTCAAAAATATATTTATGGGAGCTATATGATAATCTGAATAGATTTCAACAAACCATTATATGGGAACAATATATAAATTGGAATCGATTTAGAGTATACCTGACACCTCATTCCATCTATTCAGACATGTTTAAAATAACTCAGAAAGTGATTCCTAAGTCTATCCTCAAAAGTAACGATGGGTCTATTTTATTTCCTTCTCCATGTTACAAAAATCCGCAAATACACAATATCCTGTGCCACCGTTTGAAGGCCAGTATTATGTTCCAAAAAAAGTGTTTCATTTATAAGTAAAATAATTCCAGCTCAATGGTCTAGCTAATGTCTCCAATGTGTAATTTAGAATTAAATTGGACAAAGGAAACCACCTAAATAGCAACAATAACAACAACAAAAATTAAAACATCCGTCCAAAGATTTTAGATAGGGCAGTGAACCAATACAAGTGTACAAACAACAACCGACCAAAGTGATAATCGTTAAAAACACAAACCAATAAGAAGAAGAAATAAAATTACATCAACTACAGATAACTAGAAAATAGAAAAGCAAAAAAAAACATCGAAAAAAAACAAATACCGACCGCCATCATTATTTCCCATTGATTCAAGTGATTTAGTGTTGTTTGCCATTTCACAGCAGGAATTCAACGATTGGGTGATTCGTTTTTTATTTTGGATTTTTGGCACAATACCGTTAACATTGTCAGCCTCATCCCCACCACCACCACCACTACAACGATAAAGTGTTGCTTTGTTTCATGGTCTATTGATCCTGTTTAGGCCACACACTCATACATACACTACCAACAAGATGCAAACATCGATGACAGTGATGTCGACAACATCCGGCACGAAACCACTGTCCATTGTGGATCAAAGAAGAGCGACAATTGTGCCCATAAATCCACCAAGTAAGCCTTACACTACTCTCAATATGTGAATGTGTACGTATTTGTGTGTGTGTGCAGTGGCCTTTGTTATGTTGGCCTCCTTTTTGTTTGTGCACGGTGTTTTTCTCCCGTCAAATTTTGTTTCGAATTTCCCCCCCTTTCTTTTACGTGTTTCATTGCTCGACCCACCAACCGTTTGACATTACAAAATTTGTTTTGTGGTGCGGTTGTTGTTGGTGGCTCGTTTGTTTAATGGCAAAATATTTGCTCATCTGTTTTGTTGATATTTTTTCCTGTGTGTGTTACATTTACATTTTCTCAATGTTTTTTTTCTATGTGTTGTTTTTGTTTTTCTTTTTTAATTAAAAATATTTTCCATGCCGCAACAATTTGGTCACAATCTATATATCTATACATATATAAATAAGCGCTATATATGTATATATATTATTCATATATATATATATATATTAATGTGTATTTGTAATATGACAAATTAATTTCCAGGAATTCAATACAATATCAATATTTGGTTAGTATGAATTTTATATTTTATATTCGACAAACAAAAATATTATTATAAATTAAAATACGACCTTATATAGATACGAGAATGTTCCTATAGATATGAGAGGAATTCCATAGATAGAAGACTTCTTTGGATATAATAAGAGGTCATAAGAGGTTTCAATACATAGAAAATAAAGGTTTTAATAAAGAAAATAAAGGTTTTAAATACAGAATAGGATTCCTATGAATATTCTTTGGGGAGAAAATACATTATATATAACGTCTCTTCTATATAGAGAAGAGGTCGCCTATGGGAAGAAGGGATCGTCTATAGATAGAAGTGACCTTTTACCAACAGAAGCAGTGAGTACAGGGCCTAAAAGGACATAGAACATTCGATGGAAGATATTGCTTGAACGCATGAGGTCATTTATGAATACACGTGGCCTTCTATGAAGAACATGTATTTTATGTATATGGAATTCTTATTCTATGGATGAAATAGATATTTTATGAAGATAATAGACATTGTATGGATATAAAGGGTCTTCAATGGGAAGAAGATTTTTTTGTAGAATATTCTGAGCAGCTTTAACCCTGTTTTGTATCAGTTTTCAATCACTTCTGGAAAGACACATTCAAGGAGTCGGTTGAGGGTTAAAGTTGTATACCAAAATATTCCTCCATATTTTATCAGTAATATTGCCGAAGACGAAGTGTTTGAAAACCGCGTTTTTTCCGAAACTGTGTTTTAACGAATGCCCGGAGCTATAACTCAAAAACTAGTAAGATTTAACACGATATTGAAGAGTTCTATATGTAGTATATTTGTATATATATATATATGTATATATATATATATATATATATAGACAAAATGGCCAATTTTTTAACATAACTGAAGCGGAGGTTCATCCCTTTATAACTCGGGAATTACTTAAGTATATGAAAAAATGTGAATAGTTTTTGCGTAATTTGATTTGTATTTTGTGTATGTATTATGCATAGCTTCAGAGTAATACTCATCCGAAGGTAGAAATTTTGTACGATCAAATTTCCAAAAAAAACCTATTCTTCGGGCAAAATTTTTAGATCTGTCGATTGAATGATATGAGTACCCGCGATCCGTAAGATTTTTTTTACGTTTCGGATGATATAAAATCTTCTTCGTGAAAATCCATCTACTAGAACGGCGGGAACTGGCCTTCCAAATTTGGCAAAAAATGTTTTTGAAAATATCGCGGATTTATTTGCGTTTTCTGTGGATAATTTCCGTTTCAATAAACGACCTGTTACGGATTTTGTACTATTGCGAAAAGAGAGCATTAAAATCTTCAGCCGAAAGAGAGATGTACCTAATTTATATCAACAATAGATTCTGTTGGGTCATCCATGGTCCTTAATGTACCGCGTTGAAATCGGTATAGATCGAAGTATTTTTTCGGTACTTCAATGCAACAGGTAGTACATCTTTGCCGTCAAATGAAATTTCGCAAAATATATATGGATTGGAAGATAAACTTCAATACTTCCTGGAAACCGCATGCGCATCAAATGATTTTGAGAATTACGCGATTTAGACGCAATTTAAAATGTATATTTATTCCTACTTATAGAACGCCAACATTTATCGGAAGGGTCTTGCTATAATCCGCCAGGCGTATACTTATACTCCAAAAGTTATTATTTTTATATATGTGAATTTTACGGCGAAATTCGGGTAAAATAAAGGAATAACCCAAACATTATTTTCTGAAATTTCTTGTATAAAATTAAACCAGTGAGCGGAGCAGTATAGTCGGACGGGGCCGACCATATGATACCCTACACAACTACCACAATATTTCGAGATATTTGCACCCTTTTTACCGATTATAGATCAACAACTTCACTTTCTAACCCTGGCATATTTTCCAAATTTTTTTTTAAGTGAATTTTTACCCCGTAAAATAAAAAAAAAATTACTTTAGGTTTGGTTTGATTTGACCCTCGGAATATTGACCGATCATCATCTAAACAGCCGCTCGAAGTATTTGGTCTGATTCCCTTCACCTTGTAAAATATGTGATGTTCTGCATATGATAATTGCCTCTAGAGCGACTAGAAAATCTGTCAAAATTAAAGTTTTCCGTTCATTGCACACCCTGAATGAAATCTCAACTTCACCGAAAACTATAGGCGTCATCCTTGACCATAATCGGAAGTTCATGTACAATTTCAAAGCTATCAGCGCGACATTCCCGTCATCTAATGAAGTAATAGTAATACTATGCATATAGTCACCCTTACCGGACCATAACTGCGGCCTCTGGAGCGACCAGAAAAACCGACAAAAATTATGTATTTGGTCCATTTCACCACTTAAATATTAACCGATCTTTACTAAAAACAATAAGGGTCTTCATTGGGCCGAACCTATCCTCCATGGTGAAGATTGGTCAATAACTGTGGCCTTTATCTTGTTTACAAAGTATAATGGACAGACGGACGGACACACATGTCTAGATCGACTCAGCTAGTTGTGATATCACGATCGGTATACTTAAAGGTGCGTCTAGGACCAATATTTCGCGGCGTTACAAACTCTTGGGGCTGCACAAAGCTATAATACCCTGACAACATAGTTGTGTAGGGTATAAAAATGAACATGATTACATTTTTCTTCGAACCAAAAACAAATATTTTTCCAAGTGATAATTTATACTCTTTCGAGTCGAGCTTGATGATCTAAGTTTTGCAATGAAAAGGAAAGCCAGGAGAAGAACCTACGTACCCACCATTATGAGACGCGATTCGTTGTTGGTTAAGCGGCTCATCAGGCATATTGGGCTATGTGGCTTTACAAAGGTCGTACGGTGATAACTTGTATTCATTCCGTCCTGATGCGAAACTTGCATATGCGAATTAAATTCAAATTTGTCAAAGTTCGACATTTGTCTTCATTCTAGGAACAGTCCTTTTCAAAGCAGATTTTTGTTGTAGGATTAATTATCCATAGCTACAACAAAAATCGGCTTTGAAAAGGACTGTTCCTAGAATGAAGACAAATGTTCAGCATGGTGATTAGATTATAAAGATGTTTTTTATACCCTACACAACTATGTTGTTATACCCTACACAACTATGTTGTCAGGGTATTATAGCTTTGTGCAGCCCCAAATGATTGTAACGCCGCGAAATATTGCTCCTAGACCCACCTTTAAGTATACCAATCGTCATATCTCGACTAGCTGAGTCGATCTAGACATGTGTGTCCGTCCGTCTGTCCATTATATTTTGTAAACACGATACAGGCCACAATTATGGACCAATCTTCACGAAATTTTGCATGTAGAATGGGTTCTGGCCAATGAAGACCCCTATTTTGGAAAAGATCGGTTAATATTTAGGGGATGAAATGGACCAAAAACTTTATTTTTGTCTGATTTTCTGGTCGCTCCAGAGGCCGCAATTATGGCCCAAACACCGCGAATTTTTGCATGGAGAAGGGGATCGGGCCAAAGAATAAGCATGCCTATTTTGATAAAGATTGGTCAATATTTAGCGGGTCAAATGGACCCAGACTTTTGTGTGGAAAATGACAAAATTAGTATTCTATGGCGTATATATTTACTCCTGAAGGACATGAACCCGCAAAGTTGATACTATATCCAAGAGGAGTGGTTTACCTTTACCTTGATACCAATTGCATTGTCGTGTGTACTCTGATGTGGGAGTTACACATAAATATTTACAGGTCCTTACGTATTCATATATTATTTAGTAACGCATTGCCACACTAGAAATTTTCCATGAGGATCCAGGTATGGTCATGGACAACGCCTATAATTTTCGGTGATGATCAGATAATAATATTTGGATAAAGTGCCCGAAAACTTAATTTTTTGTGTTTTTTTATGAGTCGATTTATAGGCCACTATTGAAAGCCGGACATCACTACACAACCCACGGTGAAGGGGATCTGGACAAGTAATTAGAAGAGCTGTACTGAATATTAGCAATATTTGTAGAAATATTGCCCAAGCTCAGAATATCGAACCATAGAAAATTTGATTTTCGTGGAAGTTGTGTAGGGTATCATATGGTCGGCCCCGTCCGACTATACTGCTCCGCTCACTGGTTTTAAATTAATTTTTAGGTTGATACATGTAATATTAATATAATAATATAATATTATTTTTCTCATATTTCGCGAAAATGAGCATTTTTTCTCGATTATGATTATACACGTTTCGCGAAATACATGTTTTTGGTCAATATAATAAACGGCATCATTTAAGGATTTTTTTCTAATGATCAAAATTAAAACCTCGATAACTTTTGCGCGCATCAACCAAAAATTTGATCGCGAACTGTTTCGGAGTCAGAATTTTTTTCTCTATATGTATACCAAAAATCATTAATGTACCACGAAAACAAAAAAGCCGAAAATGGAATATTAACAAATTAGAACATAACTTCTTCTAACTGTATAAAGACCCTTCAAGTCATTTCTCTGTAAGCAAATTACT